GGGGGGGGCGAGAAACAGAATCTACTTCTATGCAGGAGACTGTGTCAGCATTAACATTTTCCCTACCTTTAACATATTGTATATCAGTGGAAAATTAAGAGATCTAGTCTAGGTTTCTCAGTTGTGGAGGAGAGCACTTTTCTGCTTTTTGTCTTGAAAGCGAATGTTAGTGGTTTTTGGTCGGTAAATATGATGAAAGTTGCGACCTTCCAACATGTGCCGAAATTTCCTGATAGACTCATATATTGCCAGAAGTTCGAGGTCATACGTAGACCATTTCCGTTGACTGTTATTCAGTTTTAAAGAAAGGAATGCTATTGCCTCCCATTGACCATTTTGGAGTTGCATGAGAGAGCTGCCAATAGCAACATCAGATGCATCGGTTCAAAGACTGAGTTGAGCACCAGGAATTGGATGTCTTAAGAGGGTAGCTTTTGTAAGAGCTTCTTTAGCTGCTAAAAATGCCTTGTCGGCATCCTCAGACCACGGAAGAGGATTTTCAGTCTTCTTAGTTGGACGGAATGATTTCTTTTTGTTAGAATGACCTTCGAGAAGCTTAATTAAAGGGGACAAAATGTGCGCTGCATGTGGCACAAATCTGCGATAAAAATTTAATAGGCCAAGAAATCTGCGAAGCTGTGTCAAGCTTGTTGGTCTAGGAAGTTTAGAAATGGCATCAACTTGATCTGGAATGGGAGAAATACCTTCTTTAGAGACTTTATATCTTAAGAAATCTAAGGTAGGAACTCCAAATGTACACTTTGAGAGTTTGATTGCTAAACCATAATGATCTAACCTTTGAAAGAGAGCTCGTAGATTGTTAATATGCTCTTTGTGGCTTTTAGAGGGAATCAAAATATCATCAATAAATGCATATACACCGGTTAAACCTCTCGTCACTTCATCCGTAAACCTTTGAAAAGTACTTGATGCATTGCACAAACCAAATTGCATCCGAGTACTCTCGAAAAGTCCAAATGGTGTGCAGATAGCAGTTTTATGGACATCCTCAGGAGCAATTGGAATTTGATGAAATGCTTTGACTAAATCTACATGGGAGAATATGTTGCACCCAATCAATAATACTAGGGATTGGATATTTGTCCTTTTTAGTCTGAGCATTAAGGGCCCTAAAATCACCATTAAGCATTAAGGACGCCAATCATTCACATCTTTTTTAGGGACCATATGCAATGGCGAAGCATAATTGCTGTTGGATGGGCGAATGTGGCCTAAATCTAACAGATGTTGAAATTCCATTTTTGCAGTTTTCAAACGATCGGGTGCAAGTCGACGTGGTTTGGCAAAAACGGGAGAGCCAAAAGTTTCAATATGATGCTGAACTGAATGTTTGACAATTTGGTTTGCACAGGGAGCTTGAATACGAGGAAATTCATTTAACAACTTAGCATAATGATCATTACAAATTACAGATTTCACTGAATATATACTAGCAACATATAAAATACCATAAGAATTTAATTTGGTGCAAGTATCGTTTAAGCGACGATTTCTAAGATCTGGTTGTAGGTTAAAATAATGTAAGAAATCTGCACCAATTATAGCAGTTTGAATATTGCATTCATAAAAAGGATAAACAAACTGTTTTCTTAAACCTAAATCTAAAGATAATAACTTTTGTTTATATACATTTATCTGAGTACCATTTGCAGCCAGAAAAGTTTGAATAGGAGTAGTCAGTTTAGATCTTGAGGCTGGAATTAAGGAACAATCACTACCAGTATCAATTAAAAAATTAATATTGGTTTTGCGATCACGAACAAATAGGCAACGAGAACTAGAAGGCGAGGCGCATGTTGCCGCTACTCCTTGCCCTAGAAATTTCCTTGAAAATTGCAGGGTGGGGTACACTTTTTTTGCTCTAGAAGCAAATTTTTGGTGGTACCAACATAGAACACTTTTTTCAGATTTCTCACGATTTGATGCATGACGAAAATTACGATTACGAGACTGACTTCTTGAACGTCATAGAAATGCAACTTCCTTGCGAAGCGATTTTAGCTGTTTAAGCAGTTCAGAGTTCGGTGTAACACTAGATGATGCACAAGAATAAGAAACTACGCTTACCTGAATAGATGACACTTCCATTATTTTATCTGCTATTTCAGCAGCCTTTTGTGTGGTTAGAGGGGTGATCGATGCTAAAATAGATTGCACATGTGTAGGTAGTTGCTGCAGAAATAATTCCAAAACAAAAGTATCCGTCACGTTATGATTTTCTGCACGCTGCTGCATAACGAGTAAGAGTTCAGACGGCTTTCGATCCCCTAGTTGCTCACTGGCAAGTAAGCGACGTATTTCCTGTGATTTGCTTTCACCACAGCGAGAAATGACTTCATTCTTCAGTTTCCCATATGGATCCGTGTGGTCAGGAGAAATGATGATATGCCTCACAGTCATAGCGATGTCAGGAGGTAAATGCGCCACACAGTGGTTATACTTGTTTCTGGATTCTGTTATAGCCTTTGGAACCGCTAATTCAAAAGTAGATTCCACCATCGTGAACCAAAGAGATGGATCAGAAGGAATGAAAGAGAGGTATTTTCACTGCAGATATTATATCCATTGTTTATGATGTTTGGATAGGTTTGTTTTCGTATTTTGTCCAGATTCCAAGAAACAATCAAAAGATGTGCGTTGTCCAACGTCAGTCACCAATGTAGGAGTTCCATGGTGAGGCAGGACACAAGTATAAAATATATAATCTTTATTTTACACATCAATAATAACATTCCGATGAGAAGGGAAATTCCCGCTCCATACACACCGCTCTTTCCTTACCATCTGCCGCTCATCCGAGGCGGGCATGCACAGAACTCACAAAACTTCGTACGGTGTTTCCATGGCAACACCACAAGTATATTAACTGGGTTACAACCCCCTGGAACTCTACACAAAGCTATGACACTAACTGCATCAAAAAGCACCTGATTGACTTTCAACACTTGCCAACCGTACCTACATCAGGCCTTTCAGGTTTGTTCGAATCAGCAGGTCTCTCTCTAGACAAGCAGCAGCGGTGACAATATTCAGTCTTTTGTTATGAATCATGATGATTATGATCTTATTTCTTATTTTAACTTATACCGTTTGACACAAAATCTACCTGCTACTTACGAAACTTCTAGACTGACCAAGTATATGACAAAATGAGGCATAAAAATTCAACATAAATCTACCTGTTAGTAAAACGTGTCACTTATCTTCTTTTAAATATGTCAAACTATTTTATAGGTATAAAATATTTCATGCTACTTGATAAATTGCATAAAGTTTATTTTATTCTCAAACTTATTAATAATTATGTTGATCAATTCATGTTTAGTAATAATGCATACTACTTAGGGGTTTATTTTATTTTTAAGATGGTATTACAAAAGTGAAATTCAGGCATAGATAATATTTTTAATTGAATTTATTCAGTTTCCATTGGCTCATAGGTCCTTAATTTTTTTCATTAATGGTCCTTAAAAGTGCCTAATTTCCGTGTGCAGAAATGTGTACAAACGCTGTTTAAAGCTCTATTTTTTTATCTATATTCCTATAATAATCATTCTGTTCCAAAATTATTTAAAAAAAATATTTACTAGGTGTTTTTGTTTAGATGTCAAAACGGGATTTGGGGCAAATTTACTTTTATGAGTGCAAGCTAGGCCACAGCTCAGCACAAACGGCTCAAAATATCAATGAAGTATGGGGCAAGAAAAGTGTTAATGAATCTGCAGTTCAATGGTGGTACCAAAAGGTTGGTCGTGGAGAATTTGACCTAGAAGATCAAGAGCGTCGTGAACGCTCTTCAGCTGTTGATGACGACGATTTGAAGACTTCAGTTCAAACAAACCCGTGAACAACTGTTCGAGAGCTTGCGGAGGAGCTTGGTGTAAGCAAAACAATGATTTATGATCTCTTGAATTGTAAAAAGGAAAGTCAAAGAAGCTCGATAAGTGGGTATCTCATGAATTGAGCAAAAATTTAAAAAATTGCCATTTTCAAGTGTCGTCTGTTCTTTTTCTCCGCAACAAAAATTATCCTTTTCTTGATCGAACTGTTACGTGTGATGAAAATTGGATTCTCTCTGACAACTGGTGACATTCGGCTCAGTGGTTGGACTGTGGTCAGACACCACAACCTTTCCAAAGCCAAATTTGCACCAAAAGAAAATTATGGTGACTGTTTGGTGATCTGCGGCCGGTCTCATCCACCACAGCTTCCTAAATCTGGGTGAAACAATTACGTCATATAAGTACTGTCAGCAAGTCAACAAAATGCACCAAAAATTGCAACACATGTACTCGGCATTGCTCAACAGAATGCGGTCAATTCTTCTCCATGGTGATGTTTGGCCGCACATCGTGCAACTGACCCTACAGAAATTGAACGAATTGGGATACGAGACTCTCCCTGTTCCCCCACATTCGCCAGACCTCTCGCCGACCGATTACCACTTTTTCAAGTATCTGGATATCAATCTGCACAAGAAATGCTTCAGAAACCAAGACGAGGCCAAAAATGCTTTTGACAACTTTATCACGTCCAGAACTCCAGAATTTTATTCTACCAGCATAAATAAACTTATATCTCGTTGGCAAAAATGCATTGATTCGGCTGATGCTTATTTTGACTAATAAAATTGTTTTTGAGTTGAGTTATGATACTTTAAAATATAGGTTAAAAACTTGCATTATTTTCTGGACAACCTAATACTTCATTATTTCATAAATCACAATTTCATATTTTTAATCTTATAATTTCTACATGCCATCTTACTAGATTTTAAACTGATGATCTAATATCTGGAAAAATCCCATCTAGAATCACCGAAGTCCCGAAGAGTCTGGATTTCAGATTTTGTACTGTACCTATTTCTAAAATTAATGTTTTGCAGCTAAATTGTGTTTTAGTTTTGGAATATATTTTAAAATTAACTACCGAGATAATAAATGAATTACTGATGATTAAATAAATTTGTCTCATTTTAGCTCATGACTGGAACTTAAACTCTGCTTTATCTGCTTATTATGTAATGAAAGGAATTTTGCCTGGAGAGGTCCCTTCTTCTGATACTGAAAGAATTTCATCTCATGGAAGAACCCTCGCATCTACCAATCATTCATATAAAACTGCTTTTGAAAATGGAACAGCAGAGAGTACTACACATAGCAGGCCACCACTGAAGAAGCTAGCTGCATTTGATTTAGATGATGGTAAGCATCATAGTTATTTGTGTTTGCCACCAATCTAAAATATGCAAAACATTTTCATATCTTACAAGCTTTTATGGCTTCAGAAATTCTGATTTATAAAGATGCAATTTCATTATAATATAAACAGTATTTTCTAGGCAATAACGCAGTATCATACTGTAAAATAAAAGCCCAGATTTTTGGTGTATTTGGTACTTAAGCCATGCTGGATTATTAGGCAATAAATGTATAATCCCAGAAAACAATTTTTTTCATATTGTTTAATATCTTGAAAATGATGATTAATTATATATATATAGTAATTCATCGATGAATGATTTGAACTTATTAGCAGATAAATTTTTCTTAGATTAATGATAATTTATCAGTCTTTTCGCAGAGTCTTTTCAAATAAAGTTGTGAGCCTCCTTCATAGATTTCATGCTTTTTTTCAGAAATAATCATTCTATAAAATTTGAATAATCCATTTAACAAGTTTGTGTTTTGAAAATAGTATTAATGGATTGTTTAATGAGACTTTCAACTATTTTGAATAACTTAGAGTAATTAAAATTAATTCATCAATTTTGTCTTCTACTTTGATAGAATTTTGCTTCCTGTCATTTGACTATAATTTTCATCAAACGTTTTGTAACAGTGTGTCCCTTTACATGTTTTTAAGCAAGAGCAGCTGTGAGTATTGCTTCTCACAGCTGTTACTGAATTGAATACTACAATCAAAGTTTCACGAATTACACAAATGATTTCTGTATTTACATTTACAGTTGGAAAGTTCTTTTATGTTAATTAACGAGTTATTTTGTGTTTTGGATCCTTACTGTCACTTCCCCCTTCCATTTTCTTGCCAGAATCCAAATTAGTTTGTGAGTATTTGTAGTGAGGTTTTTAGATTGTAAAACAGAGCATGTTCTGCCTCTTGGGGCCACATTTCTAGGTTCCTAAATCAGATAAGAATTGTAGTCTTATCTGATTTCTTATATCTTTGCATTATAATTGCCAATATTGAATATGTACACTAGTTAGCTAAGTGAGCCAGCTGTGCATTAAATTGATATATGTAGCTTTTGGCTGCTAGCTTATTTAAATTTTGTAACTTTACATTTAAACTTGGTGTAAGTTATCTTGCCATAAATGTTGGCTCAACTTGAAAGGTGTGCCTTCTATTCTTTAGATTTATTAAAAAAAAAAAAAAACTTCTTTACACCTTTCTCAAGTTTTTATTTTAGACTTAGCAATAATTTGCTTAATGTGTACCAAGAGTATGGACACTATTGCAAAACATATTAAACTTTGTACTGTTTTGAAATGTTCTTGATCAATAGATTTGATGAAGGTCTTTAGTGGAAGATATGATACCATAATGTTTCCCAGTATTAATTCAGAGGCCATAAGATGTGCTTTTTCAAGCATTCAAAAATTTTCAAAGTGTTGAGAAGACCAGGTATTTCAAAATTATTTTAACAACCGAATTGGCTAATAATACCCAACTCTTGGTGAGTTGGTAAGTCGCATGTTTTTGTGTTATTTGTTAGCTAAAGGCAAAATACCTCACACATTTCCCAAATCACTTATTTGAGCAGCCTGTGTGAAAATTGTCAAACCTATGTTTGAAATCGATGAAGTAAAAAAAATTGAATAAAATGATTTCAAATAATACAATCACCAGTTGCATTGAAGATATGTCGTTTAACAGAGAAGGAACACTAATTTAGAAACTGTTATTAGCTAATTACAGTTATTTGAATTCCTGATGAAAAAAGTTTGAAAGAACATTATTTATTGTGCAAAGAACTTGAGAAAAAAACAAATGGGAAGGAAATCTTTAAAGTAATCAATGAATACTTAAATGCAGTAAAAGATTTCATCAAAAAAATATTTATGTACTGATGCCACTGCTGTAGTGACAGGAAGGGTCAGTGACTAAATGTCTGAAGTTTTTCTGGAAATCCTAATATTCTAATAATGCACTGATTTATTGATAGAAAATCAAATAGTGTACCTCAAAGCAAACAAAGACATTTTAAAAATTGTGAATGTGGTCAGAAGTGGACTTTAATTCTCATTTCTCCCCTTTTCACTTTCATGTGATGAAATGGCATCAGAGCACCAGTCTTTGCTGTTCATGCTGCTCAAATTCATTGACTGCCAAGAAGGAGAGTTCTGTTAGAAATCATGAGTTGAAAGAATTAAAAGCATTTTTGGCTAATTTTCAGTAGCTATCTAAGTTGGGATACTTATTGCTTGCAAAAATTGCTCTTAGCTTACATATTTGAATTATTAAGTGAACTTAATAGAAAAGTGCAGAGAGTACCTGAAAATATATTAACTTGCATTAGTAAAACTAATTTATTGAAAAACAAAATTCAGCTCTGGAAAGCTGTGGTAAAAAATAAGTTTCTTTGAAAACTTTAGCTGGTGTTGCAATTTGAATCTCAAAAAAGACTAGTAGAATTTGCAGATCAAAACCTATGCTGAAAGAAATCTTCATCACTACTTTGAATTAATAAAAACAGATTCATTGAGTTTGAAATCCATTTGTATCTTCATTAAATCCCTGGACATTCTGGGCATTCATCAGTGAAAACACTGTACATATTTTTTTGCCATATGTTACAGCATACATGGGTAACAAAGTTTCTTTGCGAGAGTTTAAAAAGGTCAGTATTAAAAAGTCTTAATCATAAGTTGCATGGAGCTCTTTTGACCGTACACGTTTATATATAAAGCGGTTGCATTCACAGAAATGAGCCCAAATAGCTTACTGAAATAAAAAGGTTATGTGTACATAAACTATGATAAAATATTGCAGATATTTGTATTAATTCTAAAAATATTTATTTTGTCATTACAGTATTGTTATTGGCATTTTATATATAACCAGTAAACCTTCAGTGTTTAATTTTAGATATGCATTTTCACATCATAATTTAATACAAATAAGTTTTCTAAAAATTTAATCACAGTTTCAGGTAGTCGAATCTGACAGTTTAGTTCATAGATGCAATATGAAACTTTAAATATAAGAAGTATATAAAATGAGTATTGAACAAGAATGTTTATGTATTAAAATGAAAAATATTTAAAAGAAAGAAAGATCTAATTAATAGAATCCCTAATATGAAATAGGAAAAATTGTGTTAGTATAAAAAGTGTTCTTCATAGCATATTGTGAAAATATATAATATATATGCTTATGAGGTGTGCTATACATTTATTTATGCATGGTGAAGCAAGCTGTGATGTGGTTAAGTTTGCACCGGGATGCTTATTTTGTTATATCCTGAATTCCTACAGCTGCTTAACACCAAATTAATAATAATAATAATAATAATAATGTTTTGGTCTTAGCATTATATGTATGTCAAAGATGTATTATTTGCACATTAACTTGAATATTGCATAGCATTTAAAATAATGAAATACACGTGATAATAGTTTGAAATTCATTATTTTGAGAGTAGAAGTGGAAATCTTTTTTAAATTTTTTAATTAGGTGAGATTGTTAAACAGTTTATATCACAATTGGTAGTATATATCCAGGGGCAATAAGCCAGTTATATCAATCATTTGTTGATTTATCTTAATAGTGAAAAAAGCCATTGCAGTGATATTGCACTGATATTGGCTGAATTTGTTAAAAAAATACTCATGTTTTGGTGTTTATATATGGTATTAATTCATGTATAGTATTTTTACATGAAGAGAAAAATAAAGAACAGTCGATTCAAGTATTTCATAGTATAGACTAGTGAAGTTTAATATTTGTTTAAAAATCCAGTTTTTTCTGAATTTTATCAAAAACATTTGGGGGAAAATTCCCCCCCCCCAGTGGCAGGCGCTTGCCTATAATGGCATAGGCCACTGCCAGAAGTGGAGGTCATTTTTATTGTGGAGGCACCTAATAGGCAGCCTCCATTACCTCCTTTGAAGGGACAGATAGTTTTACATTCAATGCCTTCTCCAGGATTCGAACTTCGGCCCTTTGATATCGCAGTCAAGCTTCAATAACCAATATACTGTCCAGGCAGTTTTGGGAACATCAGACTTGCAGAAGAAGTTAGACTTGCAGAATTTTCTCTTTATTTAGAAAGCTCCTGAATTGAAATTTAATATAAGATGATTTGTATTTCTGCTCGGAAATACTATAACTTCATAATGCACATACCATGACTTCATATATTTCAATGCATATTTTTTTCTTTTAGAAAAAAATGTCCTTTTGCTGTTGTGTTCTAGCTGACTCTGCTTTTTGAGTAAAGCAGACTGTAGAATCATTTTTTTTGTTTCTGTGGTATTCACAAAGACTTTTGAACTGTAATTTATATCATTTGGAGCAGTAAGGAATACCCACAAGCAAATCTGCTTACTTTTTCTTCTGTCATTTAAGTTTAGCAACTTTATGTAATTTTACCTCTTTATGGTATCAGCAGGCTGGTCAAAATCTCTACATTCATAGTATATAAATCGGTGTAAAATTTCATTACTTTCACTACTACACCTTTATAAAGCATTACATCACTCTGTGAGTGAAATGATCTCTTCTTAATTGCATTTGCGGAAAGCCCTAAACTTGTTCTAATATAACAGGATGTGATAGGTTTTACAATAATGGGATTTAATATATAGAGAATCTCCTTCTTATGCTGTATATGTAATATAATGGCAAGGAGATTTTTAATGATTTAAAATAGATACTAAAAGCACAATGAAGTTGCTAAATTCATCCTTGGTTCAAGGAGGAATTTCAGGAAGGAAAACATTCTGCCACTGCCAAACAACTGAAGAGACCAAAGCAAAATCTTTTTTTTTTTTTTTTTTTTTTTTAACAATCGTAAACTACTAAATCGCTGTTACCCCTCCCCCATTATGTAGTTTAGAAGTGTCTTCCACATCTGGTTTTATATTTATTACACATGCCCACTAAAAAAGATCAAGGTCTGTCATTTTTAGTATTTCTTTTTCCACAGAAATTTTGAAAGCCAACTATCTGTTGAATGATA